CTGAACACTGTCTGCATTTCTGCCAACTTCCGACACTACTTAATTATGAAGGGATAGGACAAGAACATATTTAGAACCATGCTGAATATCATATGATGGAAATTAGTGGCTTCAGATACACTTCACAGTTCCTTTACTCAGATGTTTTAGCAAATTTTTCATGTAGTTTGAAAGCTTAAATTCCAAAGTTTTTGTATCTTAGGAAGTACACAGGATGAAAAAAAAGATGATGGTGGTGGCTGCCACTAAGGCTCAGACGTGCCCTGTGAAGGGCACTGTCAGCTAAGGAAGCATCCTGACATAAAGGGAAATTCTGCAGAAACACATTTTCCAACAGCTTGATTCCCCATCCCCTATCTCCAATTCCAAAATTAGTTTGGCACAATAACTAAAAGACCTAGGCTCAAATCTTGGCTTCACATCTACCTAATCTAAAGCATTTTCCTGGCACATGACAAGTACTCAAATTTTGATTCACATTAATAATTTCAAGTTATGGCACAAAAATGTAAATAATTTTATTGTTAAAATAAGGAGGAAAAGAATCAGTCTTTCCTTAGAAAAAGCAATCTAAAAGATTGTTAATGACCTTTTAATTCCGGTTCTCTGATTACACAGAGAACAAAAAAATTTAACCTGGGCTTTGGGGAACAAGAATTAAGTAGAAATCCACCTTGTACTGTGAAACTGAAACACCACTGGCCATTGTCACTCAGCTTCCTAAGTGGCACAAGTGAGGTTAAACATGACAAGGAAAGTCTGTGAAATGTTGGTCCTCCTACTTGTTTCCTATGATAGCAATCATAAAATCAGTGACAATAGAAAGAATAACTTCTCCCCAAAGATAGTATTTAAGAATTACAGTCAGATTGGATATACTACTAAAACATTACATGGGGAATGCAACATATTTACTCTAAATTAATGCTGTTAAAAATCCTTCAGTTGTTAATAGTTCAAAATTAACTGCACAATTCAAAGGATTCCTTTCCCCCTCTATACTTTCAAATATGATACCAATTGACTTAAAATGAACATATTACTGTTAAAAAATCCTTGAAATTAATCCTATTGTAAAATCAAAATAATTCCAGGAAGGTTGTAATGAACCTACTTTAACATAAGACCATTCTAAGTGTGGATAGAGACTATAAAAAAAAAAAGGAGCCAATGAGCTCTGTATCTTACCGAATTGTCCATGAGGTAACAACTCTTTTTAATATCTTTAGGTACCATGTTTTGAAGTCTCACATGATCCTAATCTATTAGTTACAAAAACAAGTAGTTAGCCAGGTGCTGGTGGCTCATGCCTATAATCTAGGGACTCAGGAGCTTGAGATCCAAGGATCGCAGTTCAAAGCCAGCCTGGGCAGAAAAGTCTGAGAGACTCTGATCTCCAATTAACCGTTAGAACTGGAAATGGTACTGTGGCTCAATGTGGTAGAGCACTAGCCACAAGCAAAAGACTTCAGGGAGAGCACTGAGACCATGAGTTCAAGCCTCATGACTGGCAAACAACAAAACAAAACAACCGAAATAGCTTCCTTTTTAAAAAAATCTTTTCATACGAAAAAAATCTTAGACATACAGAAAAGTAGGAACATTTATAAAGAACATTTCCCCCTGAAACAGTCATTATGCTATATCACTTCCAAATATATACTGTGTATAGCTGAAAACAAATACATTTCCTAGGTAATCCAAATTTACCAAGCAACCCCCCCTGCCCCAAACAAAGCAACAAGCAAAACTCACTCACTGTCTCCTCAGTGTCCTTTAGACAGAGACAGCCTACTAGGACAAGACTGCATTTAATTTTCATGTCTTTTCATTTTTCTCAACATGCAATAGTTCTTGAGTCTTTCCTTATCTTTCATGGTTTTACTATACTTAATTCCAGACAAGTAATTTGCTTATTTATTTAATTTTTTAGTGCCAGTTCCAAGGCTCGAAAGCAGGGCCTTGCATTTTCTTTTCCTTCCTTTCTTTTCTTTTTTGTTTTCAAAGGGGTTAGTTACATGAGTAAATTTCTTGTCAAACATTGTATTCTTGCTAGGCTGGCTTACTCACAGCTGGTGCTCTACCACTTGAGCCATGTATCCATGGCTGCTTAGGGAGATGGAATCTCAAAGACTTTTCTGCCCCAGGTGTCTATGAAATATAATCTTCCAGGTCTCAGTCCCCTAAGAAGTGGGATTACAGGCTACCATGAGCCCCAGTACTTGGCTAAACCAGCTATTTTGTAGATGACACTTTAATTTGGGTTTGTCTTATGTAAAGTTTTAATTGAATTTAAGTTATATATCTTTAGTGACACTATCCTAGAAGTAATACAGGGTCCTTCCCATTATATTCTGTAACATGGCATGTGGTTTTGATTTAAACATTACTGATGTTAGCTTTGACCACTCAAGGTAACAATTGTCAGGTTTTCTATGTTATGAAGTTACTCTTTCTCTTTTTTAATTAGTATTTCCTGTGGAAATATTTTGTGTGATTATATTATTCTACTTTGAATTTTATTCTTTTATTTGTATAACTACCAATTCATATATTCCTAGTTCATTCAGCAATGCACAATGTTATTGTCATTTGATTCCCCATTCACCCCAAGTTTGGTCAGTTAAAAGCTGCGAAAAGCTTCTGCAATCTGTACCACCACTCTTCAAGCACTCCCAAGGTGCTCCAGTCCTCCCCTGTCCTTTCCTTGTTCCAGCTGTGCAATCTACCATGTCTCCAAAGAATTGAGGTTTCCATGCGTGACTCCTCTTCTAATAGGCCTCGTGAAACAAGGAGGAGGCTTCTGTTGCTTTTCTTCTCTTAACTCTAGTTTCAAGGATTCATCTCAATAGTGAAAGTGTGTATTTTCTCTAGAATTCCAGAGAGTAATGTTGTATTTCTTATATATTCACCTCAAAGTACAATCAATGAAAACTCCAAGCAATGAATGATTTAAAACCAATTAAGTTTAAAACTGGCAAAAAGCATGAATGTATAAAAAATTTTAAAATCTCCTACATTATACTACTCTTTACTATTTTGATATTGTAGTTAAGATTCTTGATCATGTCCCTCAAATTCTAATAGGCAACATACTATGTTCTAAGTGAATATGCTAAAAACATATTAGAAGCTTTGGCTCACACATTACAGTAGTTGACTGCAAAACTTCAAAAGTTTTATGGATGAAAGCACTCATGACCATATTCTCAAGTATTAGACCAAAGAAAACACTTTCAACCACTGGCTCATTAGTATGGCTGATGAAGCAGTCAACGGTGAACTCTTTGCTTTGAAGGACATTATTTGGAACATTAGCATCACCACAATGTTATTTGTACAAAAGTAGTAAATCATTTCAATTGAGTCAAGTGACTACATTCCCAGGAAAAGCACAAGGAGAACATAAGACTTGGCTTGACAGTGCATATATTTCAGTTAGTAATACATTTTCTTTAAATAGTTACATTGGGAGTGGAAAATATCATGATTATTCAGACTCTATTATAAAAAATGGAAAAAGGCATTTCTTTTCAATTACTTAAGAATGTATATGCTGGCAAAATTAATTAAGGTAACTCACTGATAACCTGAGGGCTCCAAAGGAATCACATACATTGTGAGGGTGACACACCTTTCCTCTGACAGTGCTGATTTAACCCATAATTATGAATCTGGACCTCCAGAAGCTTAATGAATTGATTCTTCCAAGAACCACCAAGAACAATCCCTTTATAAATACAGAAGCTAAGGGTTTGAAGATTTCTAGCCTATAATACAGTGGAAAAATGACAGTTCATGCTTGAACATACATGTTTCCTGTTAGCACCAATTTCCTATATTATCAAAGTGATAGGAAAAAACTTATGTGACAGAAATGGAAATAAAAGCTAAAATGAGATACACTTCAAACAAGCACCATTTAAAAGAAGAACAGAGGAGAGAAAAAGCAATGAAAAGCTCAGATAACTAGAGGGGAAGAATGGATGAGAAGAGTGGGTGACAAAAATACAGCCCTGCCTAGTCATAGGTACAAAATACCAACCCCCTGTCTGGTTTCCTTCAAATATTCCTGTGACTGAACTGTAGTAATATAAGCTCAGCATAGAAACTGAATTTAAAAGAACTTCTACCTGTTCATCATTTACTTTTATTTAGATATCAGAAAACATAAATAGCAAATTTAAATACATGATGGAAGAGCAAATACTTTGTTTTATAAGCAAAAAACATAAATACTGACCACCAGTATTTATTTAATATTAATGCTTCATTGATATCCTTGAATTTTCAAAGATCTAACTAACTTATGTGATTTGATCTTAAAGCAAAAAAAGAACACAGCTTCATTCTGAATAAAGAGACAGTGATTACTAGTGCCAAGCTGGTATAGGTGCAGAGGGAAAGGAAAGACAGAGTGGCTCATGACAGATGTTAAATCCTGGCCAGGATTCAGAGTGTTAGTGACCTGATCCAATAATAGAGGTGTGTGTGTGTGCGCGCACGCACGCATGTGCGTGTGCACGTGTGTGTTTGTGTGTACACACATACCTTTTATCCTAACACCATAAAGAAGGCCTGGGAATTGTGAACTGTGATACATATTTCAATAACAACAAGCACATCTAATTTTCAGATCCTGGTTTCAAAATACCAGGAAGGAATTTGGATTACAGAATGAGCCTGGAACATTTTGTTATGGGAGCACCAAGTTGGAACAACAGGTAAAACCTGACTAGGGTCTAGGAATTAAATACAGTAACATGTCATTGTTGATATCCTGACTGTGGTAGCTGCTAGGAGAAAAATCTTATTTCTAGGAAATACACATTAAAGCACTTGGAAGTGACGTGTCTTTGGGATGGTGTCTTACTCCAGCCATTTAGAGGTAAACAATGAGTTCCTGGTAGATATATTAACTTTTCTTAGATTTGGATATAACCGGATGAATAAGGGGAAATGGGAAGGCAAATAGGCAATAGGGAAGAGGAACTACTCACTGAGGTCTTCAGCCAGTTGGACTCGTTTGCCAGTAAGTAACTTAACTTTCTTGTCTGCGTCTTCAGCAAAATCTTCCAATACCTCTTTAACATTTTTCTCTAATCGCCTAACTGTTTACAATAAACAAATTAAAAAAACAACCTTGAGAAACCTTTTTATGATTGCACAAAATGGTAAAATTAAGCACATATGGAAAGCAAGCTATTTATAATCATTCTGTTCCATTCTTAAATTTGTATTTCTTAGTTACAGAGAAAATGTCCACCGTTCTCCAACACTTTTATCAGTGTGCAATGTATACATCTTCCTAGAAAACAATACATTCTTAAGCCATATCATTGTAGTAGAAATGCAGATTTCTTCCAAACTGAGTGATGCTTAGGAGCCCCTTCCTTTTAGAAGTTTTATGTAATGAAGGCAGATACTGGCATGTCTTATTACCCATCATTTTCAATTGTAATTTCTTTTCCAAGTGCTAGAGAAGTACATCAAGTGGTAGAATTCCTGCCTAACAAGTTCAAGGCCCTTTGTTCAGATCTTATCCTCCTTTTAAAAAAAACTTCAAATCTCTAACAAATTTATTTTATGGAAGTATATTAGCAAACTTTTATTAAAAATGTCAAAATCAGTCTGTTATCAGTGGCTCAAAGAGGCTGAGATAAGAGATTTAAAGCCAGCCTTGGTAGAAAGGTCCCTAAGAGTCTATCCCCAACTAACCACCTAATTGAACTACTGGAGACATGGCTAAATAGTAAATCACCAGTTGAGGAGAGTGAGAAGCTATTAGTTCACATTCCAGTACAGGTACAAAAAGAAAAAGTGAAAACTAGAAAATGGTCTCCTTATGGCTTACCTTCAGTGTTTGTAAGTTGTTGCCGTAAGGTATTTGCAGTGATGGCAAGCATGCGTTGTATTCGCCAAAATAAAATCACATCATTGCATTCCAGCTGAAATAAAGATGATCAGATGCAAATTTAAAATAAAAACCATGATTGTGTACTGTTGTAATTTTCGAAGTCAGTACTCCT